ATTTAATTACTATTAATAAGGTCACGTGGGTTGTTGAATACTGTTGCGCTTATATGAAGAATATCTGTTTTGTTTTTTTTGCAGACTCTTATTGTTACAAATAATCTCATTGTCATCATAATCTTTATAAATTATGAAAAATGATTAATGCACCTTCTTTGATATTTGAGGGGATAAAATTTAGGGATGCAGGCCAAAATCCCGACAAAAGAATTCCGACAGGCAGGCCATAGTCCGACAAAAAAATCACAACCACAAGTTCATTGAAGTTAGGTTAGGGTTAGGTAAGCATTAGATTAAGGTAGGGTTGAACGGCTAGGTTAGGGTTAGGGTTTAGGCGATTTTGTAAAAGTGCTCAAGGAAAACTTGTCGAAATTTTTTTGTCGCAAACTTGAAATTTAAGTTATGTGGTCTGGTCTTAGAACAATAGACAAACAGTTAGTCTTAAGACCGATCTGAATCTGGAAAAAATTGGCTTGCACTTAGTCTTAAGACCTAGACCAGTCTGGTCAGTCTAGTCTAATTAACTCTTAAAACTATAGACTATAATAACCCAGATCAAAATCGGACCAAAATAGACCAGGCAGAACCAGATCAGACAGTTAACATCCTTAATCACATTCGATAATTATCTTGTTCAATTTTTAGCTTAGCGTTAGGGAATCTTTTAAAATTTCACATGGTTGATGAGAAAAAGCAATATTAATATGAGAAGAGATTGTAATACATCAAATGTTCAATATTAATTAATAGTAATTATTTTTCTTTAACAGTTAATTTTGGTCTCGTCTAATTGGGTTTATTGACTCTATAACACGGCAATGTTAAGTCTTCGACTAAGTATATCAAAATGGAGTTGAATCATTGACGATGCTGTATATTTGTTCGAGATACACGTGGCTCTTGATATAACGGACCATCGATATAATGGATATTGCTTAATACGGAGAATTATAATGGAACCAAATTATGATTTATTATAATATCTGATATATCATGAAATTTTGATATTACGGATCTTTTGATATAATGGAGCAAAGGACTGGAACCATGGCCTCCGTTATATCGAGAGCCACGTGTATATTTATTGGCAATAAAATACGTAGGTAAACTAGATTGATCATTTCGTCGATTTTCTCATGTAACAGATAATAAATTAATCAAAGTATATATACTTTTAATTTTTAAGTTCTAGGACAATCAATATCATCGATAACATCCCATATTTCTCTAGCCAATCTTAATTGACTTTGTTTAGAATCTTTATCGCCGTCACAAGGTGATCCAGCTCTAATTGCCAAATATTTACGTCCAAAAATGTCAACCGGCCCTTCATCATATCCTTGAGCACTTACCATTATACCACCCGCTTCATTAAGAATTACGAGAGCTGCTGTCACATCCCTAAACATATAAAATAAGAACAAGAACAATTACATCATAAACATTCTCATAAAGTATGATATTAAAATACAAACCATTCCCAACATCCAAATTCAAAATAAATATCGGCACGACCCAGAGCAACGCTGCAAATATTTAAAGAAGCACTACCAATACTCCTAACCCCTCTAACTAAACCAGCTTTTTTAGATGACCAAGAAACCTCACCAGGCTTTCGCAACAAATTATGAACTGAATTAACCTTTTTGCTAATCACTTCGTCTGATCGATCGCTGCCAAATTCTGAAATCACCAAGCATTTAGCAAGAGACGAAGGTAGTTGAAGAGGAGGATTTGGATATGAGAGTGGAAGCCTAGTCGTATGATTTAAAAATGCGCCATGACCTTTTCGAGCTGTATATAACTTTAATGGATAGATTGCTTGAGAAATTTTGTTTCTAAAAGGAATGAATTAACTTTATAAGGAAAAAAGTTTGTGATGAATTAATTTACTTCATTAAGAAATGGGTTAAACACTACGCCAACAACAGGTTCCTTATTAATTGTTAACCCGATAGAGACCGCAACAAATGGAAATCCATGAACAAAATTTGTTGTTCCATCTGAAACAATAAAAATTATACAAATTATACAAAACTTTATTTTATTTTATTTATGAATAGATAAAAATGATTTATTCAATCGAAAAAGTGAAATATTCCTCACCTATCGGATCGACAATCCATGTTGGGTCATCTGTGAATTCATCTTGGTATCCAGCAGCTTTCGTCTCTTCACCGATAAATCTTGAATGACAATTAATTTAAAAAGAATCTCTAATTACTTCTCATCTTTTATAATAAAAACTAACCTATGTTCCGGGAAGCTTTCCTTCAACTTTGATTTAATCAATTCTTCTACTAATTGATCAGTTTCGGTTACTAAATCCGATTGATTTCCATACTTCGAGAGAACTTTACTATTTGTAGAATATCTTGCATTTGATGCATCAAGAATAATTTGTCCGCATTGCTTGGCTAATTTTATAGCGAATTCTAGATAATGTTCTATAAAAATAGATAAATTAGAATAAATTGATCGGATTATTTATTAATATATTATATATTGATTACCCGTAGAGTTCATTTTTTCTTGAAAAGTTTATGGGAGAAAAGAAATGAATGGCTGAAAATGTGATTGTCCTATCGTTTTTATAATGCACCAGTAGAAAACAGGATTGACAAAACCTTGATAAAAATGAAATATGCTGTAAATAAAAATATATTTAAGTATAAACCTTGTATATATAGTTTATATAATATAAAAAATATATATAATATATATATATATATTATAATGTATATATATTTTTATTTGCTATTTTTTTAGTATTAAGTCAAATCTTTTTTTTTTTTTTTTTTTTTTTAATGTTTAAGGTGAAAGTCAAATCTTTTTTTACTAGCAAAATTTGAATATAATTAACATTTTTATATTTGTATAATGACCAAGCTGATACCCATGAATAAAAAAATTTTTGCAGGTCTTTTTAAATTTGCCTTGAAAATCACGTTATGGAAACGACTTCTCTGTCCCATAACGTGACCATAGTTGCCAGCTAGCTTGAGACTTTGGGAAACCATCATTTGGGACTAATTAAAACCGTGGAACTTGTCCCAAACTTACTTTATGAATCGGGATTTGGGACAAGATTCCAGATATAACCAGTTTGGATAAATAGTTATAATAACTATTTGGACGGCAACTATAAATGTGACTTTCAAGACAAAAACTCCATTTCACGAAATTTAAAAAGTACAATAAGACAATCATTAGTTGTCTATGACGTAAAAATGACTTAATGCAATCAATAAATATCAGCCCGATGTTAACGAATAAAAGGAATCAGAATTTGCTTTTAACGTTAAAAAAAAATTTTTTTCATTAGTTTTAGAGGATGTCGCAACAATATTATCATATGCCAGATCCAATAAATTACGCTCCCCCTCCAACCTCACCTAATTCGACCCATCCATACACGCATACTAGTCCAGGAAATTATTATATGCCAGATCCAATATATTATACTCCCCCTCCAACCTCATCTAATTCGATCCATCCATACACGCATACTAGTCCAGAAAAAACCTCAACTTACTACAATGATAATGAAAGACCACCATCATATGAACCCCAATATACATCTTACGTGCCACCACAAAGTGGTTATCCCCCACCTCCCAGTTTCGAGCAAGCTACGAACAGTAGTAGTGATGGCACTGATATGAAATTTAATACAAAGCCCAAACCTCAAGACTTATGTAAATTAAATCAGACATATGTTTTATTTTTTGGTTTTTTTTTTTTTGCTTATTTTTTTAATGCTTAATAAGTAAAATCTTAATTTTTTATTATTAAAACAGGGGCTGTGGTTTTATTTCTGTTAGATTTTCTGGCATTCGTCGTTGTATCTGCGATCTCTCTAAGAGATTACGAGATCATACAACGTCAAAGTCGTACGCCTGTCGAAAGCATAACTTTGAATTGGAGTACTATTTGGCTTTTAGCGTTTTGTGTTGGAATCGGATTCGTGCTAAGTGCAGGCTATTTGATATTAGCACATAAGTACGTACATTCTTTTACTTTGCACTTTGTATTTTAGATTAATTTATTGATACTTTCACATCTTATATCTTTTACGTTAAAACTAGATATCCAAAGCAATTTATCAAATTTACATTTTTAATATCCATCGCAATGTACTGGGGTTTTACCATTTATTTCTTTATTGCTAAGTATTTTAGCCTTGCCATTTTATTTGCTATCGTCGCTATTTTCTATACATTATTTTGGTTCTGGTAATATTTCAAAATCGTTATTTAAATATATATAAAATAAATTTACTACAAATATTAAAATTATTTGAATTTACAACACAGGTGGAAACCAATGATTCCATTTTCTTCTATCATGTTGCAGACCATAACAAGTATCATGAATAGATATAAAGCAATGGTTTTGACAGCTTTCGTGGGATTAATTGTACATGTGTTGTATTCGATATGGTGGATTTTTACTTTCATCGGTAAATGTTTATAAATTCTACGCTAGATAAATCATGGGCGCGCCAATCGATTTATTTATTTGATTTGATTTTTGATTTTTTTTAGCGGCATATCAAGTCTGGTATCCAGCCGCATGTATGCAAACACAAAGAACGCAATCAAATTGTCAAACAGGCCCATTTACAGTCATTGTCATATTCTTATTATTTACGTAAGTGTATTTATCTAAATATTCTATTTTGTTATCGTTATGTCTCAAGTTAAATTAATAATTTATTAGATACTACTGGGTGTCTCAAGTTATCCAAACTTTTATTCATGTTACAACTTCTGGCGTATTTGCTTCCTATTACTTCCTTGAAGGAACACCTCAAAGTGTTCCACCTTCACCTACCTTGAATAGTGCAAAAAGGGCAGCGACCACTAGCTTTGGGAGTATTTGCTTTGGAAGTTTATTAGTTGCCATACTACAAGTTATTCGTGAACTTTTGAGATCTCTAGCTCAAGACACTGATAATCCCTTTGGTAATTATATAATATTTTCCATGTATTTTCAACTATTAAGATATTCTCAAAAGATATTAATAAATTTCATAAATTAGGCGCGTTTTGCGCTGCTTGTGCAGCTGCATTAGTTGGATATATCGATTCATTGTTAGTAAGTTGTATACAATTTAGTTGTATCTATATATTTTTATTATCTGGTTATATGTTGATAAAAATATCCTATGTTTAGGAATATTTCAATTTTTACGCGTATACACAAGTAGCAATTTATGGAAAGTCATTCTGTGATGCGGTAAATACAATATCAGTTATGGAGTTCTATTATGGCAACTGAAACTGAAACCCTTTTTAATATGAACATTTAAAATTTTATTTTTTGAGTACTGCATATCTCTTTGTTTTATCGTTAAAAGAGATATGTTGGTAGGCTTAATACATTCAAATAAAGATCCCAAATTTCAGTTGTCATAATTATTTTCGCGAAATGATATTTATACTAATTATATTTATTAAATTTGTAATCAAAATTTCCTGTACACATAAAAGGCAAAGGTATGATAACTATAAATATGTTGCGGGTAAGATGTCAAACTTATTTTTCCATAATATTATAGGATACTTGGACTATGATTAAAGATCGTGGTGTTGAGGCCATTATTAACGATAACCTTATAGGCACCGTGATTATGATGGGTATTGTATCGTGCTACCATATTATATTTATTATACGTCTCTCTATGCGCATTTCGCCGGACCATAAGAAAAAAACCTGAATCTGTGATTGCATTTAAGAGAACAAGATAATATGACTCTTACATACGAGAAATAAGAGTGTCTTGCAAATTTAGAAAATATTTATGCACTCAGAAAGAGCCGGCTGTATATGTAATTCGCTTTCTTGTTTGAATTATCTACTAAAATTAATTTCTATACAAGGTTCATTTCTGGTTGGAATGATCACCGCTCTATTTGGATATCTTTACACGATCATCTTTCATCCCAGGTTCAATGCTGATGGAGGATTCACTCCATTATTAGTGTTTCTGGCATTCATTATTGGATTCCAAATGCTATCAATTATAGGATCTGTAATTTTTAGTGGAGCCGCTACAACATTCGTTTGTTTAGCCGAAAATCCGGATGCGTTGGCTAGAACCAAACCAGATTTATATAATGAGGTAAGTATTTAAAAGAAAAAAAAAACTATATAATCGAATCTTTCAGAAATCAGTTAATAATTATAAAATTTAATAGATCATCGGGACCTATCCTGCTTTTGCTCAAGGAATTCGAGCATAATTCCCTTTTTTATATAAATTTTATCAGACAGGAATCCATAGAATTTCTTTAACTCTATTTATGCGCAACATTGGTATTTTTAAGAAAATGGCAAAATTCACTGGATCAATATAGATGGTCGACTTTATAAAATCTCTAATTTATTCATCATATTTGGTAAATGACTTATAAAAATGAAATTATTTTTTCATGGCTTTTCTGTTGCCTTAATTGAACATGTATGATTAATTTAAAAATATTCAACGAATAAATCGAATAATATCAATAAGGATAAATAAAACTTACTAACATCTTGCGTAAAACGTCTATTATAAACCTTGCTAATGCGTGGATGATCCTTGGTAAGGTGAATAGTTCGGCCGCTTTCATATATAAAACGTTGTTTAAATCTATGTTCTTTGCAATTATATGATACTTGATTTTTCAGTTCCTTTTCGGTTCTAAACTTCTGATCATATCCTTTTTCTTCACGTATATAACGTGGATCAAGATTATTTATAGGTCCAGTGGTAAATTCCTTATTTTTACATTTTTGTTTATCATATCTAATCGGTTGAAAACGATTTGAATATGTTTTCAAAACATTATCGGAGGAATCATGATTATATGTTTGCCCTCTAAAAATAAAGTGCTTATTGTTATTATCTTCCGAGGACTCTGAGTGATTGTAGACATCGTATCCATTTAAATGACTTCCTGAAGTAAAATATTTTCCATGTTGAAGTTCATCACGAGTCGTGTTTGGACTATTTCTATGAATATTTCTCGTTAAAAAATTTACACTACATCGTTGTCTATTGCAGGAATCATTCTTTTGTTCATTTCTCATGTGTTTATTGCGTTCAAACCTTTTATATGAATCTAATTTATTCGCGTTCGTATCCACTATATTGGAATTGGATTGTTGAGATATCACATTTCGACATTTTGTAGGATTATATTGTGAAAGCAGATGATTCCGCAGATCCTCTTCGCAAGCAAAAACTTCTCGACACCCAGGATTTGTACAAAAGAGTTGAATTGAATTTTCCATTTCCATTGAATTTTCGTTTCCAATACAAGGTTTGTCATATACCGTAGATAATATTGAAAATTTATTGGTCGTTAATCTATTTGGTAATGACTTGTGATCTTTTGATTGTGGAGCTTCTTGTAACGAATTTTCATTTAAATTTTGAAAATGTTAACCTTTATCTACGCAGTTTTGCAGTGTTATTAAATTTGCATGGTTATTTGTTGACTTTTGTCAAGTTATCACTTTAGGCCATTTAACAACACTGCAGTCTTGAGATAAAATTCAATGCGACTCACCTTGAGACTTATCAAAATCTTGTCCTAAATTATATTAGAATGCTTAGTTTTTCACTACTAATGTCATAAATGTTATTATTGTATAATTTACCTGAGGACTTTTCAAAATCTCGTTCTAAATCGATTTTAGATGATTCACTAGATTCAAGAAATCCAATATTTTCAACAGTACTGCTGTCACTTTCGACACTAAAATAAGACGGTTCAGATGTCATGCTTTGATCACTATTCACGCTTTCCTCACTTAAAGTAGTGTATATTCCTTCTTCGTCACTATCCGCTATAAAATTAATCAGCGATTCACTTCTGTTAACTTTACCGTTCTTAACTTAGTTTTCAATGTATATTATTTATTTATTTTTAGAATTTTAAAATACAATAATGTAACAAGATGTAATTAGAATGATGAAAGACAAAAAATCCCTACTTAGCTTAGTCGGGTGAGAAACACTTGGACAAGAAATAGGCTTTTCAACAGGTTCATCTTCGGAGCCTTTTAACAAATTCAAATCTAATTAACTTTCAAATGCATGATAATAATAGTAATAATAATAATCACTAATGCTCCTTACTGGATTCCGCCTCTGAGTAAATAAATTCAAAGGGAATGCTTCCTTTTAAGTTGTTACGCATGTTGACAGTAGTAATCGCAAGCTTAACTCTATTGCATTTCCAGAAACGGATTATAAACACATTTAAAGTGGACAAACCTAAATTTGGATGATCGGCAATGTGGCTTAGACAATTTAATATAAATATTTTTTTAAGTATCTCGTGATTTTTTGAATCAATTCATTTAAAAAAAATAGTGAAAGTTCTTCACATAGCCCGTCTTCGATTAAAATTAATCCAAATAATCTCAAATTTTAAATAACTTTATTAAAGTTTATATAAAATCTAAAGCAATTAAACTTGTATTCAAAAAAACAAAAGTATTTTGGCATAAAACTAAAAACAACTACAGTCAGACATTATAGCCAAGGGCGGCCAAAAAATCTTGCATTTAGAGAGGTATTGTATTTAAGGAGGTAAAAATCTACATATGTTATATAAGTTGAGGCCAAATAAGTTTATACTTTTAAAGAGACTATATATTTAAAGTATATATACTTAGAGGTTTGACTTGTATATAAAATTAAAATTTAATAGTTTAGAAAATACAAAAATAAGCTTAAATAGTGTTTCTATAAAAGAGTAAAACAAAAAGATAAGTTTAATATATAGCTTTATTTTGTTTAAAAAATTATATATATAATATTATTTTGTAAATTAAATTTACTATGATTTGAAATATAAAATAAAATAAAATAAATTTATAAAAATAATTTAAAATAATTTAGCAATTACAAGACATGTTTCTAATAGATATTATAATAGTTAATCTATAGTATAAATAAGTATTATAAAATTATAATATAGAGAGTATAGTAACTTTAGTGTGGTGGTGGAGTTGTTACATCCCTGTAATTAAGATACTAAGTTTGAATCCTATTGGTAATAGTTTGAATAAAAATACTTGTATTATAATAAGTATATATTATTAGGCAAAAATTGGTAAATAATAGCAATTTGCTAAATAATAGTGTTATTTAGCAATTTATAATTATAGCCCCAATTCTTCTTTTTATAAATACAAATTTAGATCTAAAAAAAAAGATAATAGATTAATATAAAATTAAATTTCTCTTTTAAAAATAAAAAACATTTTTTTAAATATTTTATATTTTTTTAAATATTATTAAAATCTAAAATACTAGTTACTAAAAGTTTAAGGTTGCTTTTACTAAAGCTTGTAGTTACCATTACTAAGATCTAGATTATTAAAATAAGAATTTGATATTGCTAGTTATGTAGTAGTACTAATTGTCTAAGATCTTATGACTATAATTCTTACTTGATTATACTATATTTAAACTACTAAATAAATAAAAAATAAAACAAAATAACAAAAAAAAAAAATTAAAAAAAAAACTTTTTAAAAAAATAGGCTAATAATAGTAAAAAACTTTTTCTATAGATTACTTTACCAAATTAAAAACAAGAAGAAAAAACTTTTTATAATATTTTCTCAAAAATCTACAAGTAATTTAATATCTAGCTTCTAAATAAAGTTATTCAGCACTTCAAAACCTATTTAATAAAAGTACAACTTTTTTTTTTAATATTTAAGATGAGACTATGCTTTTATCTTTATTAAACTTAATGAAAACTTTTTACAGAATTGAAAAAAGCTTTATATTTTAAGTCTATTACTAACCAAGAGCCTAATCTAGGTGTATTTGAAGACTTATCTGTAGTCTAAACCTACCAGAATAGCCAAGGCTTATCTAAATTTGAGGTAAGTTAAGTATTTGGAATAAGTGTGTGTGATTATTAATTTAGCTAAAATACCAGATTGCTACTTTAGATAAAAGTATTAGTGAGGAAGTTGAGAGAGCATTTATAATAGAATTTGGATTACTTGTAAAGCTTGGTTGAGATTTAGAAAGTTGGGGTTAGGGTCTTGAGCTACAATAAAAAATCTAAAGATTTGTATATAGCTACTTGTTAATATGCAAGAAAAATTTTATAATAAAGTCATTAGCCATTTAGTTAAAAATAATGAATTTATAAATTGTATTTATTATATCAAGTGAAATAGGTTTAGAGAGAGTAAAAAAAATAGAGGGTTTGTATAAAAAAAAGTGTATTTAAAAGCTATCAAGATTGATAATTTAGTTATATAGCTAGTTAATTTGTATTAAAGAGATTTGAAATTTGTTGGGGTTTAATATATATTGTAGTAAATTTTGAATAAGTTTATAGAGAGAGTTAAAAGTAGAATATATAGCTTAATAAAGTGGGGTACTTGTTAGTTAGTATATATGACAAGTGTTAAAGAAATGTGAATTTCTTTTGTATAAGGTGTGTGGTACTGGGAGTTTATCAATAAGTAACTTAACTCTAAATATTTTAAGTATAGAGGACTAGAAGCTATAGACAAAATTAAAAATTTTTTAGTTGTCATTAATATAGAGCCAGGTTAAATTCTAGTTGATGTATTAAGAAATATTTAGCCATGGTTGGAAGCAGTTGTAAAATGACCAAAGAGCAAAGATATTTGCATAACAGATAGTTTGAATGCTGCAATAGATAGGGAGTTTAAGAGATTATTTATTATAATTTAATATATATAGAGAGTTATAGATATTGTTAAGATTAAATTTAAGATAGAGTGTATTAAAATAGTTGTGGGCAAGTTCATTAGTCTTGTTATTGAATTCATTATTATGATATATTTTAACTTTATAAAAAGTGATTTTTAAATTGTAAAATTTAATAAAGTTAAGAAGTGTATTTCAAATTGACTAGTAGAAAGTGTTTAGAGGTTTAGGGTTAGTTGTTTGTTAAGTCAGGCTATTGTATTTAACGATTACTGATTAGGAGTCTATAAAAATTTAAATATTGTAGTTTCTAGAAGCAGTGCAAATAGCTAATAAGATTGCAAGTAGTTTAGCTTTAAAAGAACAGAGCCAGAGTGAGATTTGTATCTAAAATGTATAAAGGATTTTGTTGTTCTCAACTTGTATCTAGCCAATGCCTATAGAGCATTAAGAATTATTTAAGTTAATCACAAATCTATTTGTATAGAATATAAAGTGCAGGGAGTAGTACAACTTTTGTTAAAAGACTTTATTCTGACAAGTTACTAGTAATAAATGCTCCAAATAGTAAAAAAGCAGTTTTTTAATTTTTTTATAAAAGCAGTTTTAAAAACCTCTAGTTTTTAAATATTTAAGACAAACTACGAATAATATATTAAAAAACAATAAGAAATAACAAGACTTATATTTTATTAAACCTTAAAATTCTGCTAAAAATATAGTATCTAAAAGCTTTTCTTATATTTTTAACTATTTTTTTTAGCTTATAAAATCTGTACAATCTAAAGATACTATACACTAGCTTGCTTTTAAGCTTAGACATAGAATATACAAAAAATTTTTTAAATATCACTATTAAAGACTAGTCAAAACTTATATTTATAGTTAGCTTCTCTATTTCAAAATATGCTAATACTTTTATCTTTTTTGTCAATATTACCAAATTAGAAAAAATCTTGAATCCAACTAATTATCTATTCTAATAGATATGTAGTCATTAAAACTCTACTTAATTAGTTCTATTTAACTTTATAATATAAAAAAACAATATTATAAATATTAGTACCAAATGCTTTAAATTAACATATATATAGCTTTTTTTTTTTTTTTAGAATTAAGATAATCTTTATGACTAGAGCTTTTCATTAGATTATTAACTTTGAATTACAATTATAACAAGAATATATCAAGCTACACATACACTTTTGGTACCTAATTTAAGTAGTCTACTCAAAGGTTTTATACTATCTGCTATATCTGCACTCTAACTATAGAAAATGTCTATTTAAACTTTTTAATTACAACTGCTATTTGTTTCTATTCTAATCAAGATACAACTTACTATTTATAGGCTAGATTTTGTAATATTTGTAAATTTTGCACCTACTTTAAAACTTATTAACTACTTCTAGCTAATCTATTTATAAGGTAAATTTAACAAAGTAGTTTATATTCTATATATATTTTTATCTGCATATTTAATAACTTATTTCTAACTAATATCTGTTGTACTGCTACTACTAGGTTTATATCTTAAGCTATCTTTTATAATACTGCTATAACATAGACTGTATTTTAAGCTACAACCTTTTTAATTAGTTTTCTATTATATACTTCTTGCTCTTGTAAAGTTTATACAACCTCAGTACTTATATTTAGATTTTTCTTCTTTTTCAGATTCTTTACTAGTCCTTCCTTTACTTCTAGCTAGCAACTAGAAGAGTTGATCTGTCTAGGCTTTAAGTACTTTATAGTTTCTTTCTCTTTAGTATATGCTTCCAAAGCATATATTTTTTTTTTTTAGTTTTGATAATCTGGTAGTTTGGTTAGTATGTTCTCTTATTTAAGAATCTAGTTGCTTAATTCTTTAGTCTCAGTCTCTAGTTTCAAATTCAGTTTTTCTGTAACACTATTAAAAATTATGCTATTTTTTAACTTAGAACTTGCCAAATAGATTTTTAATTATTCTAGTTTTTTAAATTTAATACATTAAAACTTTTATTCTAAATAGTATATATAATCAAGATTACAGATTACTAGATTCAACTAGTTAATAATAGCTATTAACTATATCACAGAGCTATTTTTTAAAAATGTTGTCTGTAAAATTTAAACTTTAAACCTGCTATCTAG